TGAGCGTCTACTCCTGGATAGCGGGGGCCGGGATAGCGGTTCTCTCTTCATTTCACAAAACCACAGGTTGATCTCACCCCTCTGAGAAAGGAACCACACGAAGTCATAGCCTTACTCGTATGAAGGAATACCGCAGGCAGTCAGCTTGGTGTTGACCAGTATGGAAAGGTGCAAGGGCGTGGACGTGGGAAGGAAGTCGAAACAGACTCAAACCCCTCCTCCCGCTTTGACTCACACCCTCAGTGATGGGGACAGCCAAGGCAGCTCCCTGGCAAAGGGCAGTGGCTGCCCCTTCCCTTCAGCCGTTAGATTTGGACTTCAGGAAAGATCCCTGGGAACTTTGAAAGTTAATGTCTCCCTTGACAAAGTATCTGAAGTTTATACACATAGCAATATTATTAGGTTGAACTATGTAAAATGTCCAATACTGGATAATATTACACTTACAAAAAAGTCGTTTGGTTCAACCAATAGTGCCAGTGTTCTTAATCCTATTTCTGTTGAACCCTAATTGGGCCACAGATGGCTTTTAAAGGAGTCTCTCAGCCCCCTTAAAATTATAGAAAGCTTTTATGCCTAAGAGCTTATGTGACTTCAATTTTGAAGGGGGAGAAGGCACAAATGTCAATAAATTTTCTAGTCTATGGTTTTCTGCTCGCCTCAAATTAAGAACACTGGTGTAGTCAAAAGAATACAAAACGTAAAGTGAGAAAACCCAAGTTCCTGTCTCTCTAGCTTTTGCCTAGGGGGAAGTCACGGAAGCTTTCAGAATCCTAGTTTCCACTTCTATAATACAATGTTTGTAACCTGGGGGTATGATAGTTTAAAATTATCGAATAGAAATAAAAACCAATGAGTTGGTGGATGCTCCGGCAAAGCGTGTGCTCACGCTTGGCAAACTGTAAAGTGCTATACAAACTGTAAAGTGATACACAAACAGAAGGTCGTGTCTGCCTACTTTCTCCTGCTCAAGGGCCTTCCCTTTCCCTCTGGAATCAGGAAGTGCCATAGATGAGTGAAAATGGAAAGACACAGAAAAAACAACAAGCCCGTAACTAACCAAAAGCATTTTAAAACCTCAGAGAAGATTCTTGTCAAGTTTGTGGTTTGGTTTCAGGGTCTGCTATCCAGTGACCACCGCAAAGGGTGACCTGGAAGTTGAAACGCTTGGCTTGGGAGCATAATTGAGTGTGTCTGTGCCCAGCAGGCAGGTCGAAGAGGGATTTCTTACACTCCAAAAGTTCTGCATGAGAGAGACATTCTTTCAGTCTCACTCTCACCAACGGCTGGCAGTGAGATTGGTAGTTAGCGTGCAGTCTTTGCATGAAAAAGCAACTGTGCATGTGGGGCTGGCTCTCCCTATCTGTGTGTCGGTATCTATCTACCTGTTCATATTTATTCTACGTTTTCTCTTTGTCGCGAGGTATTTTGTACTATATTCACTGTGCTGATTTTATTGGCAATCCCTCTATCCTGAGACCATTCCTCAGATTTGAGAATCATTTGCTTTTCTAAAAGGACTTGTCTCCTTCCTGCTACCTGGCGATAGTTTTTCTTCCTTGTAAGAGAATGCCCAGATTAATTTTACGTTGTCCATGTTATACACGAATGCGATCTCCTTGTGGAAACAAATAATAAAATGTTAGATAAAGCTAACAGTTCTTTTGACTTCCTGGCACTTTGAATTTTTCTCCTGGGGTGTGACTGGAGCACATCTCAGATCTGAGTAGTGCCCAAGAGGTGCTTCAGGTGAGCTTTTTCCTGAAGGGGACAGCTGTTCACAAGCATGCACTGGGTGTGGTGATCGGAGCAGTGTCACACTTGCAGTGGCACAGGTGACTTGGGGTAGACTGAGTAAAGCTTCCTGTTGCCAAAATTTCTGCTCCAGCTACTACTTGTTTTTCATGTCTAGAAATAAAATTCACTGTTTCATATAAAGTAAAATTAGTCTGGATGGATATATATATATATATATATATATATATATATAAATGACCTGGCTGTGGAAAGAACAACTTTTTAAAATATATTTAAATAAAGAGTACATTTTTAGTTTTCTAATTACACTGTCAATTCTAAAAGTTTCTATGTCTCTATGTACAGCAAAAGTCAATTTTTTAATAAACACATGTTTAACTGAATTTTCTGAAAAGTCTACTGAAAGAATCATATGTATGTAAAATGTATTTTTCATGGATTCAATTGATAAAATAGAGATATACTCTACACCAAAAGCTTCAAATATCGACAGTTTCTACGGAAGCAGAACCAGGAATACCGATTCACATGTCTACAAGTGTCCATTGAAAATAGCATATATGAAATTGTTTAGCCTCTACATTTCAGAAAAGCATGATTCTCTGTATATTAAAACATGGACATGCATGTTTAATTTCATAATTTTATTTTTCACCTTTTTTTCTTGCAGTATAAACAGGATAAAAATATTTTTTGTAAATAAGAATTATTGAACATTGAGTCCTTATTAAACAATGGGCACTCTTCTCTGTGTTTTCAAGTAATTTAATTTAATCTTCACAGTAATTCCATGAGATAGGTAATATCTCTGCTTCTCAGTTGAAGAACAGAGGAACCCTAGGTATAGAGAGGAGAGATAGGTTGCTCAGATTTAGTAGCTAGCAAAGATCAACCCTAGAGCAAACCCAGGGCTTCTGCCTGGACAAATCTGTCCAGAACTGTGAATTTGCTTGACTCCTTTTGCCCCTGTTCGGATCGAATATATACATATATGCAGATTCACACTAGTTTCTACTTTTGAGGCTCCAATAGTTGAATAAGAGAGTTTATACTTTCTTGTGCTTTTAGTTGCTGCTATGGGACATATTTAGGGTTCAAATGAGAATGAAACTTGGCTGCCTTTCCCTGTCACTGTGAGAGGAAATGCCCAAGACTCAGCACCCCACAACTTGATCAAACACTTTTCTCTCTTTGCTTTGTGTAGCCCAACATTCCTGTGTCTACTTTGTGCATCTCACCTGGGGTTTTCCTCCTTAAGCCATGGCCTGAAATCCCAGCATAGCCTCTTCCCACAAATCACGGCACAAAGACACTGCCACCAGGAAAATCTTTAAGATTGAAAGTGATTTGGTATTCAAAGACCCTTACGGCAAGCAGGCACATTGCAAAGAGATGCAAAATAGGTTGGAGGTTTTGGGCACGGCCTTCAGGACAGAAACACACACACCATTAGACCCACCTCTACAAACTAGTTTCAGGTGGGTGGTATCTATTTTGGGACCCAACAGAAGATGGCAAGACTGAGCTCTCCTGTTTCTTGTTGAAGCCACTGTACTCTTCAGGTCTGAGACCTACTGGGGTAAAGCCACCAGGTACTTGTTTGGATTCTGTCTGCTCCTGTCTCAGAAAATGACCCAGAACTTTCTTCCAGGACTCAGGTCTCTTTGGTGGTTTATGGAAAGGAAGAGGAGTTCCCAGGGGGCTTTGATGTCACTTGCTGTTGGAGTTGAGGGCTTTGAGTTGGACTCTTCGTTACCTTAGGATGTCTTTCATGTCTAGCCCTCATCCAGCCGAGGACAAAGGGCTTCGTATTGCAAGCTGTGACCTATGGGTCTGGGTATTTCTTAAGTTATGAAGGAATGTTTATTACTTCAAAGAGGGGATATAAAAAGGGGAGAAAAAAGACACTATAGAAAGAGAGTATGTGGCTGGTCTTTCCCTCAAAGGAAGAGAGGAAGAAGGGAGAGCTGTGCTGTTTTGACCACTGCGAATCATAAAATCGCCCTAATTAAGCCAACAGGGCAGATGGACACTCTGTAAACACGCCACCAAGACTCAGGAAAAATCAGCCTGTGGACAAGAAAGAATTCCTGTTAAAATGAAAAACATATTTTACTCTCCTGTGCCCACTTTTAGAGGAGGTCCCTGCTATTAGACGTTGTACTCTGCTTTCACACTGAGAATAATTTTCTTGGGGCTTTATCACCCCTATAACCTGATAGAAAGCTAGAGAAAGCACACAGAACTTTGTAAGGTCCAGCACCAGATTCTGATAATATAACACCTAGGTATCACCAGGGAAAGTGGCGTTTATTCTCAACAGAAATGAAGAATAATGTTCTTCTATAGGAAATAAAACAAAAGTAGAATTATTGCATCAAATAAGTCCACTGTGGAAAATAAACACTGGACTCTTAGTAGTAGGTAATAATAGAGAGATTGTACTTTATCCTTCAACTCCTAAGATGTTTTCTTTTCTATCAAAGAATTTCCAGGGATGAAACTCCCAGAGTTTACTTTGAAAGTCTATTTTCATGTTAATCAGCCTTACTGTCTAGGAATATTCCTGATAAGTAACTTAATTTTTCTGTGCCTCAGTGCTGGCTCATTTTCCAGCCAGGGACAGGGTATCCATGCCTGATGCGCCAGGAAGACTTCTTGAGAATAAACGGTTTGGCAGGTTCTAATCTCAGAAGCAATAGACTCCGTAGTCCCCTCTCTTCCATGTCAGGGTTCACATGCTAAATAAGAGGTTCTGTTAAAAATTTAGTGGGGAGATAGGAAAACGGGAAGGATGACTAGCTATGGCAGCCCAGAACTTGGAACAGTTCAGAAGGTGTTTGATGATCATCCTGTCCACTGCTCTCCCTTGGCAATGAGGAGGGATTGACTGGCTGTGTGGTGGCTTATTGTCTGCAGCACTGGTCTCTTTGAGTGACCTTTTTGAGAAATTTGAAGAAAGGCAAGTCCAAGTTAAAAAAAAAAAAAGGAAACAGCTGAGGTAAGCAGTCTCAGGAAAAGATGGGCTGCTCAGCAGCTGAAAATTATCTTCTCACTATCTCAACTTGACTTTTGGTACAACTTTGAATACCCTTCTGTGCATACTCCATGCTTTTATCATTTGTAAAGAAGGAAGCTCTTACTTTATAAATAGTGAGCTTTCTAAGAATAAAAATGGTAAGACACGTGCCCTGATAGCCCAGTGAAAATAATGACTTATACATAAATGTGCTTATGCCTAGGTGTGTTTCAGTAGACCAGGAGTGGCCACAGCAATTCTTATTTTCTTGACGACCGATGGCCTGGTCCCTGGGAAGCATCAGAAGCCAACAGTGACCCTCTACCTGACTGATGTCAGTGGAAGCAACCACTCTCTCGGTGAGTCTGAAAATTGTCCCTTTAGGGCCACAGGAGGACAACCCGATAGACCCAGGAGTCAGCTTGATGTCTATCTCTGATATTTTTGGGATCTTCCCTGCATCACACACCTATTGAGAGGATAAAATGGATATTAGGTATGGAAATATGGTACCAGATGAATGGCTTAAAATAGCCATCTCCCTGTTTCTCTTCAGGAACCTATGAACTGTCATGCCAGCAAAATCCACTGATTATCAATGTGACCCATCACCCGAATATCCTCTTCCCTCCTACCACCTCAGTGCTGCTGAACTTCTCATCCCCACTGGTGGGCATCTCAGCTGTGACTCTAAGGACACCCTCCGACATCAGTCCTTCAGCTCCCAATGACTGCATCGCAGAGCACAAGGGGCAAAGTCATCAGAAACACAGGTACAAAGTCTCCTTTCTTCCTTTCCCTCCCTTTCTCTTGTGGTCATGACAGACTGCTATGGTTTAGTCATATAGTGTTGTATATACAGTGCTTGCTCAATCACTAACTGAAAAATGGATTTAGGAACTACTGAAAAGACATAGGAAGCAAGCGGAGAATAATTTTTAGAAGGCACACTTAGGTTTTATATTTTTATCTTCTTTTCTTAGCTGATCATAGTTTTTATGTAAATATTGAATATCATTACAAGGTCTTAACATCTTTTTTACATATAACACCACTGGCTTTAAATCAACATTGTTAGATAAACTGCCAAAAACTCTCTGCCAAACACTCAATGCTCCCCAAGTAATGTGTATTTTTTCCACATGCTCCCACCTGGACAGTGTATACAGCAAGTTTAATAATTATTTGTAAGGCATGCCATATTATCATTTAGGATTACATATGGAAATAGGAAATGCATTAGCTACATGTCTTTCTGTGAATATCTGTGATTGTCACCATCTAGTCAGATGTGGCTGTGAGGTTGGCTGGAGTCTCAGCAGCAGCTGGTAGAGGGACTGGACTTCACAGTGTGGATGTGCCCAAGCTTGGGGAGGAGGCACTCCAAACACAGCAATCTGAACTACAGTTAAGCTAGAATCATTCTATGAATGGTCTAATCAATTGAGTGGGACTAAAGGTGACAGGGTTTGTTCCCTCAGGGAGAGAAGTAAGATCACCTACTTGTTAACTAGGTGATCAGGATCCTAGTCACAAAAGCTGGGGTTCCAAGCAGTGCCCCATTGCCAAGGAGGAATTCCAGTACCAACATGCCCATCCAAGATATACCAGGAACCCAGTGCTCACAGGGATAGGGAGGAGATGGCACTGATATAGTAACTCAATTATCTATTGCTGTGTAGCAAATTATACCAAAATGTAGTGGCTTAACACCAAAAAACATTATCTCATAGTTTCTGTGGGTGAGAAATCTAGATGCAGCTCAGCTGGGTGCTTCTGGCTTGGGGTCTCTTATGAGGTTTCATCAAGCTGTTGGCTAACGTGGCAGTCACCTCAAAGCTCCAGCTGAGCTGGAGAATTCACATCCAAACTCACTCTTGTGGCTGGAAGAAACTCATAGGTGTTGGCAGTGAGCATGCTCACACAGATGTGACACAGCCCCTTGCCACGCCAGCCTCTCCACAAGCTATCTGAGTGTCCTTATGGCATGATAGCTAATGACCCAAGAGAGAAAGAGAGCCAGAGAGAGTGAATACATGAAACACTGCCCAAGAGGGAAGCCATAATCTTTTTACAACATAATATTAGAAGTGACAGCCCATTACTTTTCTGGCATATTCTAGTCATTAGAAGTGAGTCAATAAGTCCAGCCCATACTCAAGGAGAGGGGTTTGCATAAGGGCATGAATCACTGGGGCCATCTTAGCAGCTATCTACCACATACAATAATAGTAGTTTGTGTTAATTGAGCACTAACTGTGTGCCAGGTATTGTTCTAAGTGCTAGGAAGGGAGAAACAGTAGGGATAGAGTCTGGATGATGGACATTTTAACGTTAGCAGTTCAACTGCAACTCTAAAGTCTTCTTAGTGAGCAGACAGCTTCAAATGTTAACATAAGAATGTAGACTATTAAAATAACATTTATTAGAATTATGGCCTCCCTCTCATATATTTTCAAATTATTTTCTCTACTGGCTCTATCTCTGGGCTTCAGCCATACAGAATTTCTTTCAGGTCCCTGAAACGTGTTCTCGATGAGCTTTGCACATAACGTTCCTACTTTCTTGAATGCCTTCCAGTCCTTCTTCACTTCAACTCATACTCCCCCATCAGGACGCGCCTTCTGTGGAGTTTTGGCAAACTCGCTCCCTGTTTCCACAGGACACAATACATAACCCCAACTCTGAAAAAGCAGCTGTCACGCTGGGTAGTAATTATTCATTTACTTGTCGTTCTTTCCCATTAAACCCCGAGCTCCCTGTAGGGGGGATTTGACTCAGTATCTCTCCACAGCTAGCAGGCGACCTAGCACAGAGCAGGCATGAAAAACTGGGTTGAATGACGGTTGTCAACTTTATGTCTGAATGCTCCATGGAACAGAACTGAGCGAGCAAACCAACAAAGTAGAAGTCATGGCCTCTCTAGACATAAGGGGTAAGCATGCCCCTCACAGTCATAGCTGTGAAGTTTCAACAAAGAAGTTGATTCATGGTAATCATTGCTGCTAGTTCTTCACTTACTTTCACGTGGCATTGTGGGAAAAACAAGTTTTGTATGCATGCATGCAAGCCAGTGGAAATAGGATATGATCCTCCAGTTTATGCAGAGTGGATCTGGAATGCATAAGCATGCCCAGACTGCGTGTGACTGATGGCAGCCATGCAAATCAGCTTTTCCTCGTCGGCCAGCAAATCATTGCAATGTAGTAAGTTTCGATACACAGGGAGCCTAGCAGACACCATTTATTTTAATTTTGAATATACTTCAAATCTAAATCCTTATGTACTGTTTTGTCAGTCAGAGTTGTATAATATATGTAGATACATCATAACATGAAACCCTCAGATTCTGGGCACAGTGAGAGGGATTCCTCGCTACCTCCTTCTTACCCCTGATGACCTGAATTCCATTAATACTTCCACGGGCAGGGGAGAACTGACAGATGCCTGGCAGTAGGAGATGTGTTATCCATGTCCCTCCTACAGTGCTCCATTTTTAAACCCATCTTATTAGCCCACAGAATCTCAGCTAAGTCCAGCTCTCCAGTGATATTCACGATCTTTGTCTTGGACAAAGTGGTCTCTCCCTGCTTCACATGTAAATATCAACAATTCAGAAAAATATGAAAACTCTTATCCACATCCAAAACCAAGATAGCAGCCAGAATCTGTGAGGATTTCCTCCTGATTGCAAATGGATGGGGCTGAACTGAGAAACATAATGGGAAACCAAAGCATGCACTTTGTGTTTTCTGAAAGAAAGCAAATAGTGACTAGATCCATACTAAAAGATGAGAGGGAAACAGGTTATTCTTTCTTCATTCCCTGGCTCTTTGGCTTTTGTCTGTCTCTTAGTCTTGTTCCCCATTACCTTATGATGGCTACCCAGTTTATGTCCTTCGGGCTTAGTCTACTGATCTTGAACCCCTTAGTCTTGAAAACCAAGTTTAGTTTTCCTGATGTTGGCCACCAGTGCTTGGTAAGAGCTCAGTCCGTTCTTATTCTCCAGCTGTTTCCAGCTCTGTGTAACCACTTTAGGGAGAGGTTCTGCACTACTTGCCATGGCACTGGGATCAGGCAGACCTCCAATCACCCCAGGATTGTATTGATGGCTTTGAGAAGTGGAGACCACTGTTTTTTGTTAATATAATGGGAATGGGAGTGTGTCTGAAACATAATCCAGACACTAATATATTAATTTGCCTAAGTGAGTAAATTAGTTTGCAGATAACCAAGACTCTTAATGTTCTACTTTGAAAATTCACAAGGTCAATGCTAGAAGAATTTATCAACAGGCAAGAATTGCTGATGGGCATGCCTTTCTCCTGCAATGGAATTTTGTTTTCCCAGTCACATGGATACTGTGGAAAAATTGATTGTAACTTCTCTAATTTTACCTGATGGTATCCATAGGCACTCCCAGAGCAGAATGTTCTGGAGATGAAGAACCTCATCTCCTTTACCAGGACATGGGCTGATGACAACTGTTGAAACCCTTATTACTCATCTCTTTATAGCATTTATATTTTCCCTCCTATGTACCTAGACTTCTCTATCTACTAGCCCTATGAAAGGTTGAGAAAGTGGTGTAAACCTTCCATACAATTGTGCTTCTTTCAGTTTTTGTTTGTATTTCAAAGAATTTTTGCTTTTTATAATTTTTTACAATTTAATACCATATAATGAGGTGTGTAACTTTTTGTGATAGCTTTGTCTTCATTAGGATCATACCTCTTGCAACTCTTTTGTCCCTTTAAATGCTTTTGTCTTCATATTCTACTTTGTCTGAAATTAAAATTTCCATCCTTGATTTCCTTTTGTTTGTATTTGTTTGATAAATATTTGTCTTTCTTTTATTTTTAACCTCCCTCTATCTTCACTGCCAATGAGCCCAAGGCACATAGTTTCCCTGCACTGTTTATTAAGACAGTAAGATTTTACCATGTCAAACTACTCTGAGATTTTATTCTTAAAATTTGTTTCATGATCCTTAAGCCTTTAGGATTCTTTAGAACTTTGGGTCATTTTTAACCTTTGGGACAATTATCTCCCAAGATACAATGGCTTTTGCCAATGTCTCCACACCCACCCCATCTCACCAAGGCCCTTGTACTTGCCAACCTGAAGTCCTGAAGTGAGTAAAAAAAGGAAGGTTGGTACTGATGGGGATAGTGGATGGAGAACAGATTTCTGACCCATGAAAATCAGGGCCCAGTTTTATGGTCTTTACAGGAGCCAGGGAATGAAGAAAGAATAACATGTTTCTTTTAGTGTGGCTGTGTTCCTTACTCACTCTTTTTCAGAAAACAAAAAGGGCATGCTTTGCCTTCCAATGAAGTTTCTCAATTTGTCTTCCAAATATTTTCCAATCAGGAGGAAATCCTCACAGGTTCTGGCTGCCAGTCTTGGTTTTTGCTATTGATAAGAATTTTCTTATTTTTATATATTGTATATATTTAAGTGGGAAGCAAGGAGAAATTACCGCACAGTGTATTCTTGTGAAATTAACTGAAAACAACACATGTGAAATTTGTATCAAGCACCTTCTAACACCAGATTGGAGCACCACTTATGGCAATTTCCACACCATTTCCCATCTTTACTTTTTATCATCTTCCTTTTAGAATGTGTGCCAGTTATCAATCAATTTGTTGCCTCTTGATTCCAAATCCACCCTCATCACCTGCATTGGAATACTAGAGCTGGATTTTATTGACATTTATCCAGTTCTTCTTTGTAGGTCTGGTAAAATTCGGGAGTGAAAACATCTGGT